ATTTCTCAACAGAAACATTTCAGGCCAGAAGGGAGTAGTGTGAAATATTCAAGGTAATGAAAAGCAAGGACCTACAACAAAGGCTACTTTACCCAGAAAGGTTGTCATTTAAAATTGAAGGAGAAATAAGGAGCTTCTCAGACAACAAAAAGTTAGAGGAATTTGTTAATACCAAGCCAGTACTGCAACAAATGTTAAAAGTCTTGCTTTAATAAGAAGAAGGAGAAAAAAAGAAAAAAGAAGAAAATAGTCTAACAATAAAATGTCACTACATATCTATCAATAATCATCTTAAATGTAAATGGCTTCAATGCTCCAACCAAAAGACAGGGTAGACGAATGTATAAGAAAACAAGACCCATATGTATGTAGTCTCCAAGAAACACATCTCAGATCAAAAGATACACACAGACTAAAAGTGAAGGCATAGAAAAAGATAATTCATGTATATGTTTATTTTCTAATGGAAGCAATTGCCTCGATCTTTAGCCTTACAGAATTAATGATCTGAAAATCATCCTAGCAACATACTTTCCATATTTTGAGACATAGTTTTATATTTTTATATACTAACTTAACAGTTTTTAAGATTGTTTGTGGCTTGGGTCAACCAAAAGGAAGACAACTTTTAAGTCTGTTTTCTGCCTCAACAAGGGATGTCAGATGGAGACTTGAAGACTACAAACAGGTCCTGTGAATGCCATCTCAGAGCTGCAATCATTTATGGGAAGTACAGTGATTTGACTAGACATAGTGGAAGCTTCAAATTGCAAAGATTTCGTTTGATTGGCGTTCAGTTCAAGTCAAAGGATCCAGACGTGCATATAACTAAGATGCTAGAATGATGCATCTGGGCAAATGGGGAATGAAAGAATGCTTTACTCACCTTTGTTACTCCATCCTGTCCTGTAACATCTAGAATCATAAAGATGGATAAATCATTTCAGATATTTCAGATATATCAGTTAAAACCAAAAATAAAATGAAAAGAAACCTATTTTCCATAAATCGTATCAATTACTACATACACTTCCTTGCACCACACACATTTAGGTTAGAAATACACCTGTCTGTACAGGTGTACATATAAATACTCTACCTCTAGTGTTTATATGTGAAGAAATTCAGAAATTTGTACTTTCCAAACTTAATTTCAATTCTGTAGATCTGTTTAAAGGAAGTAATAACAATAAACTAAAAGTCTGAATTGAAGTGCTTTGGGTCATAGTGAAAATTTTGAAATAATCTCATAGTGGGCATTCCTTTAAATAAATCATATTGCATCCATATGATGGTATATTCTATAGCTATGAAAATGTATGTTTTCAAAGGACAGTTGTGGAATGAGTGTGCTTGTGGCATAATGTAAAGTGGGAGGAATTAAGAACAAGCTATGAAACTTATCTGATAAGGAGTTTGAAAACAGGGACCTGGTCTGCTTGTGCAGAGATGTATCCCTGCACAAGGTCAGTGCTCATTAAATAATTGTTAAATATGTGAAGGAATGTATGTTATAAAAGAAAATCTGCCAAACTAGCAACAGCAATAGTGATTAACTCTAAGTAATTAAGTTTTCATTGTCTTCTTTTATAGTTTTGTTCTGTGTTCTCTATGTATCTCCTACATTTTTCACAATAAATAGATTCTTGTTTCCAAAATAAAATAAAATTATAAAAATGTGGCATTTTTTGCAAAAAAGAAACAACATTATTTATAGGAAATACACCTCCTGAAGTACCTGCTGTGCTGTATTTATGAGTATTTGATTCTGTTCAAATCTGAAACTCTTAGGTCAGTTCATACCAATTTTCTCTGCCAAACTTCACTTGTCCTAACATGTGACTAGTAGGTAGATGGGAAGAGACATAGATGTAGATATATGGGGACTACAATGCATTCTACTAGTTTCATTAATTTCACTTTATCCTCTGCATATATGAAGGCATGAATGATGCATATATTAAGAGATATAAATCCAGAAAATGAAAACATAATTTATTCTCACCAGCTAGAATGTAAAAGTTTAGAAGACAAAATACTTGAATGATATTAAATTAAAATCTTTATTTTACACTAACCAGATCTCAGATTTGAAGCACAAATTGTAGTTTATTACCTGATGTGGTAGTTGAATTAGGGTTAGTATTCACTCTACTTTCAATTTTTTTCTCTGAGTTAGAGTTACTCCAAGAAATAATAGTTTTTTTAGGAAAATTTTACTGAAATTTTTATCTTGTTTAACATATGTGTGATTCTTCCTCTCCTTGACAAGAACAATGGGGAAAATGAGGAAAAAGCTGAAATATTGTCATTCTAGAGGAAACTTAAGAAAGGAACTCAGAGTAGGATGGCCTCAATTGGTTCTGTCATGTCATGATTCAGAGAAAGGGCCCCACCTGCTGAGGCAGAAGTGCTGGCAGCTCCCAGGGGTACTTCCACAACCCCTTTCAGAGAAGACTAGACACACAGAACGTGGGGAATACTCCAGATGTCAGCGGTTAGAGATCCCTTCTCAGGGTAGACCTTAGCCTTTCTTAGCTCCAAATGTTTAGTGAGTCTGGGGGACTCAAGCTCACCTGTATAAATTTTGAACATATTCTTGAGATTTTATTTGTAATATAAGATGACACTGGCACATCTGTGAGGGAGTGAAGTTATGATATGGGATCTTTATTTCTCTGAACTAGAGGTAACCCCAAGAGCATGGATATGTATCATTTCTTCATTTGGCCTAAATGTTGTAAGAACATTGTAACAACTAAACAGTTCTAGTTTTGGTGCCATTATAAAAAATTGTTTTTTCCTCCATTGTTAAGAGGAAGCAAACTAAAGTAATGAAATTTATCCATAAATGTAAGAACCTCAGTAAATTCATCAGAAAAGAATTTAAACTGACAAAAAAGTTAACAACTTTCCAGTGTCCATTTTCTTCAGCATGACCTAGAGTACCTATGTCTGGAAAGGAAAATTCTGTATTTGTAAAACTAATGATATTACTTAATTCTGCTTCTGAACTGAGGTGTCTTCTTTAGCACAGTACATTAAACCAGTAATCATTAACACCAGCTCCAACAGGATTGGAACTTCACTATTGAAAATAGACTGTGTTTAGGTACACATGAAATGCAAAGATGGCATGATACAGTGTATAATATAAACTGGAATTGACTCATCATCTTCATTCTGCCAAGGATATATGTTATTTGCTTATTTTTAAAATATATTTGTTTTATTGTATAAGTTTGCCTTTACAAAAGGCAGCTTAAAGTTTTTAACTCTAGAAAAAAACTAAAAGTCTGCAATGAAAAATGGTTTCTGATTATAAAATCTCCTGGAAGGGCTTCATAGGAAAATACCAAGCCTCACTGAGTATTAGATATACTTCGTATTCTCCATACACAAGAAACAGAGTCCCATCTATCCATACATTCATTCATTCATCCAGTATGTTAGATAATGTTCTGTCCACTGGAGATCTAATTATGAACAAAAGAAATTAATGCCCAGCCCTGCCTGGTGTGGCTCAGTGGATTGAGTGACAGCTTGCAAACCAAAGACCCGCTGATTCAATTCCCTGTCTACATGCACACGCCTGGGTTATGGACCAAGTCCCCAGTAGGGGGCATGGGAGAGGCAACCACACATTGATGTTTCTCTCCTTGTCTTTCTCCCTTCCTTCTCATCTTTAAAAATAAATAAATAAAATCTTTAAAAATAAAAAAATGAAATTATCTTCCATTCTCTAAAAATGTCTTATATGTAAGAGAATGTTGACCCTAAATCATGATCATGCACATTGAGGGTGGAAAGGTAACTCAGACTGCACCTAACTAACCTTCTACTTTACAAAACACAAAAGTTAGACCAAAAAGTTACTGCATAATTTAAGGTTCAATGGTGAAGGGAAAAGGTAGAAAACTGTACTTGAACAACAATAAAAAAGTTATAAAAAATAAAGTTTAAAAAATTAAATTAATTTTTTAAAAGCACGCAAAAAAGCAAAGATGAAAAGATAGATGGATAGATAAACTGACAGACAGCTTGAGAGAGAGAGAGAGAGAGAGAGATCAAGGAATGGACTTACACAATGGCACAGGCTGGCTAAGCAAGTCTGAAGTCCATAAGGACACTCAGGGAAGGTCAGGCACAAACTAGAAGTCCCCAGGCAGGGGCTAATTGGAGTCTGTGACTTCAGGGAGGGCATAAATCCTTTTTTAAAGAACTCACCTGATTACACTAGACTTCACCTGATTTAATCCCTTCTGATTAATTTAAAGTCAACTGATTGGAGATTTAATTCCTCACAAAGTTTCTTCAAAGCAACACTTAGATTGGTGTGTGACTGAATATCTAGGGTCTATAGTTTAGCCTAGAAAGTTTGACACATAAAAAAGCCACTATGTGTACATTCACTTGCCCAGTGTCAAGTGGTTGGGAAAATTCAGAATTAGCTCCCCTACTCCCCAGTTCATTCTGTGGTGGGTGGCCCTGGCAGGTACCTATATACTTCAATGTTCTATCCATGAAGACATCTCTCTTCAAAAGTAAAATTTATCTTTCAGCCATGTTTCACCCTATTTCTAAAAAATGGTATTATTATCCCTGGCTGGTGTAGCTCAATGGATTGAGCACTGGCCTGTGAACCAGAAGGTCACCAGTTTGATTCCCATTCAGGGCACTTGCCTGGGTGGTGGACCAGGTCCCCAGTAGGGGGAGCACAAGAGGCAAACACATTGATGTTTCTCTCCCTCTCTTTCTCCCTCCTTTCCCCTCTGTCTAAAAATAAATAAAATCTTTTTTTAAAGGTATTATTAAGTGACTTATATTTGTTGGAGTATCTATACATTTAATTATATTTTAACAAGACCACTCATTTAGCTTTGGTTTGATGAGGGTGATGATAGTCAAGACCAACCTTGCTAGAACTTCTAGATTCTTAAAATTATAGACTATTTTCCTATAAAAATAAGTAAAATAAGCTCTTTTATTTTGTTAAATTGTGTCCCTGATCTGGGTAAAGTTGTACCTGGCTTGGTGGTGCTTGTCTCATATTGGCCAGAGACAAAGTAACTCCTTGTTTATCCCAGGTTGGCTTTTGGTCTGTGCCCATGCCTGGTCCATGCCTTGGACACATAGGTAATAATAGTAATAGTAATAGTAATAATAATAATAATAAAATTTATTAAATTGATGTTAGGAGAATAAAGGTCAATGATAATTTATTTAATTATGTTTATCTGAATGGTGACTTTGTAAGTTAGACATAATTTAATAGAAACTAAGAATAGGCTGACATTTTGTATTTTTATACAAAATGGAGTTCTAAGCATGAATTAACAGAACAAATTGCATTAGTGATTGAGGACATACAACAACATAACCTAAAATGAATTTTTATTAATATGCCAAGCAAAAAGTAAAATTAAATAAATAACCCTCTATATATTCATGTAAATTTGGAAGCTATGCTTAGTCTTGCCAAACAAGTAATTTCCATTTCTAAATGTAAATAACAAAAATTTTATGACAGTTTCTCGTCAAGACAACTTCTGATACAGTGAAAATGATATAATTAAGTCAGTTTTGCTTCTTGCTACTAGTGGTCAAACATCTCGAGAAGTTTATGCTGGAGGACTGGGCCTTTTGTTAAAGGCTGTGGCTTCATAATGCTTTTTAGTTCTTAATTCTTTCCCTTTATCTTAGGTAACATGATATCAAATTCCTATTGGCTTACTTTTGATTTCTACATCAACTTTAAAGGCTTTCATTGAATAATTTTCCTTATCTTGTAAGAAAATTCTGTTCATCTGCTAGAAAATAGTGATGTCATTTTTTCAATCAAGCATTCATTAAAATAAGTTTTCCTTTTAAAACTTTTAAAAACCTTTCTTTGAAAACAGTTCCTTAGGTTAATGAATGTGTTTTAGCTTTAAAATGTTCTCCCATCGTTCCTCAAGAAGTTCTATTATCCATCCCATTTAACCCATTGCTATTTTATTTTCCTCTTCTGCATTTCCTGTCCCTAACCTCCTATTTTTGTTCTGTGGCTTTCCGTTAATACTGTTTAATACAATTTGATGAGCACCAACAAAAAATCCAAGATGAACAAAGGCACAGGGCAACGGCAGCAGGAAAGAGAGAGGGAACAGAAGGCGTTGCTGTCAGTCTTCAACCAGTTTCTATAGCCGCCTCTCACTTCCAGGGCTGAACCAAATTCTACAGTATTTGCTAAGGTGGCCAGAGAAGTCAGAAATAATGCAAGGGCAATAATATGACTACAGTCCATGAATCATGGATTATCACTATAATCTTTACTTTTAATGTTATGAATGTGGGCTATTACATTAAACAAAATCTAGGCACTGAGGTCTCTATGTGTTGATATCTATATTTTTAGAGTATGCCTGACAGTATTTTAGAAACCTCATTTACCCCCTTTTTTTAGCACAAAGCTAATGCTTTATTTTTTCCCCCAGTTTAAAAATCTAAATGCTGATATTTATATACAAAAAAAGGATTAAATGTTTGGAAATATAATTACATTTTAGACACTGTTCATGTGAGAAAAAGTATAAATATGTTTTCCTTTTCACACTACTTTTTGACACCTCAGCGCATAAAAATTAACTAAAAGCCACCTTTTGTTATATTAGCAACAATGTCATTCTTAATTAGATTCACCACCTCCATCTGTGCTTAGGTATGACACTGCACATCATCTCTCTAGTTCTTCCACGAAGAGGACAGAAAAATCCCTCACACACCTCAGATGTGTTCTTTGGGTCTCTTTCAACAGATACCCCATGTTTGCCAATCAACAAGCAGTTTTCTTGAATAGCTATGACTTAATATGAAAACTGAATTCTCTATTTCTCTTCATTCCATAATGTTTTTTGTAGCTGTCTCTGCTTTCTCTATAGTTTGCCTTTGCTACACTAGCAGGGTGAAGGTGGGGGCAGGGCGATGGGTCGGGGGATGATACAGTTATTTCAGAATAGAACTTTTATTTTGATTGGCTATTGTATTTTCAGTTTGTCTGGTTCCCCACTTCCATATAGGAGGACAAGTTATTTGGGCCAAACAATACAGTGCAGTTTGGAAACAATGCCTTCTATGGGCACAATCTTATTCTTTCCATATCCACTTTTTAAAAATTGTGAAAATCAAGCCAACATTTTTTTTTTCAAAACAATGCAGTTTCTCAAGACTTGTAGAAAAGACAGCTTGGGTTGAATTTTTTTTCAATTTAAGCATATGATAAAAAAGAGTGGGTTGTGTAAAGCCAGCATATATATGTGTCCAAACATTCATGTGTTTTGAGTATTAATGGAAAAGAGTATTTTACTTGATGGACATTGTCTTCTTGCTTAGATCTTGAAGCTCTTGACTCCTAGTCCTATGCACATAAATCAAGCATATTCAGACACAAAGCAGACAATTGAGGGGAGCCATTCACTGGGTAATTCCATCCTCTCTTTTGTGTGAACATTTGCAAATATAAGTGATTTGCATCTGTGCAGACTCCCTTGAGGGGCTTGTCTATCCTCACATCATCTTTAGACATCCCAAAAGTTTCTTTGTTAGACTCTCTTTCTGTGATGCCAGATGGTTGATGCCACCCTACAAAACCGTATTTTGAGAAAGGAGAACCAGTTTAGCAGGTAGATGCAACAGCACCCATTACCGTTATTGTCACATCTCCCAAGTCAGTAATGGCAAAATGCACTTCTTATCACATGTTCACTCCAAACACAAAAATAAGTAAAATTGGCATGGTTTTCCTTTTACACCAAGAATTCAGCACAGCTGCTCCCTAACACACATTAAAAGGGAAAATAAAAGATAATAACATCTTTAATTTCTCATGTTTCTCAGCATCTCTTAGAAAAAATAGCTTCATGATACATGGCTCAGTGGCCTGAAAATACCTACTTTTTTTAAAACACTTTCAAACACTGTTTTCCTTCATATTATAATATGGGAGCAGGAAGATTTTTAGCAAAGATAAAGACTTGGGATCTAAGGAACAGAATCTGAAAACTTGATGTAATGCCTAGTCATGCTATTCAATTATGCCATGATTTTTTTCAGTCTTTTATTTAATCACTACTCTATACCCATTCATTTACCTTGTCTGAGAAAAATGTTAGTAGCTGTATGCATGAAAAATATTAAGTAAAGATGAACATTTTAAATACTTCTTAGAGTTTCATTTTTTCTCCCATAAAATTAAAATGCATTTATCAGATAAGTAATAGTAATTGGCTTTGGATTATATAATCTTCAGGGAAATATATATATACAGTAAATTATATTAACATAACAAAATAAGTTTTCTTACCAGATTAAAAACCTTAAAATAAACCCAGGTGTCCAAAACCATTGTTTGCTTCCATGGGAAGGAAGGGCTGGTTAGAAACTTCCCTGAAACCACTTTCAGATCACAGCATGGACATACGACATAATTCAAGTTATTAGTTTTTTCCACTTAGGCTCACAGGTCTTATAGACACAACTATTTTACAAGAACAAGATTTTCATGGAAAATATGACTTATACAGTCATTTTATTGAGTCTTTATTGCTAATGCACATGGGGTTCAAAACCATAATGACAATATTGAGCACTTAAGTCATTAGGCTGTCATATTACAGCAAAATTATTTGTACTATATAATCATTGTTTCCTTTTTTATATTATATAGATCTAAGTTCAGTTCATCTATCTTTGCCATTACAGGACTACTTTGTTATTGTAAATACCTATTTTTCAGATGATTTGAGTATGTTTATTGTAGTTCAAGTTCATGTTTATTAGACCTTTGCTTCTGTAAAGCTGGGAAACATGATGGAGGGAAGTTTGCTGTGTGCCTCATGGTGACTTGTTTGATTATGTGTTGCCTCACAGTGTCGATTGCTATATAGTTTATGTTTTAAATATTTGTATGTACACCAAAAACTTCAAGGTCACTGAGAGCCAGTTTCTTTTTCTTTTTTTCTAGCAAACATTTCCATCATACTCATCATACTTAAAACACACTCTTGTCTTTAAAACTAAAGTGGAATTCTGCTTGTATGCAACTTTTTTCTTTAAGGACTTTAAAAGTGGACACATTTACATGATCTCTGGTGATTATGTGTGCTAAGAACAAAATCATTTAGGAAGAAAAATAAAACTGAACCTGAAAACTTCAGCTGAAATCATTTGTGAGCATTAGGTGAACACAGCTTTGGTTTGGACAACTGGCTCCAGTTTCATAAACCTTTTTTAGAAATGGATATTAGTTATTATTGTTCTAGTAATCAAACTGCTGTCTCAGATTTTGCTGTACTTATATTCTGTGTCTTAATGGATTGTATATTTTATTGTTAAATTCTAGGAATTATGGCACAATGTTGCTCAGCTGGCCAATAGAATGCTATTGGTTTCTTCAAGGGGGGTGGGGGAGAGAGAGAGAGAGTGATATAGAAGTTGGGAGAGATACACACTACCAAGCTTGAATAGTTTTTGGCTGAGACTATGTGAATTGATTCTCATACTGGGAAATGGCATATAAGATCAGTAGTCTGTTCAAATCACTGTACAGTTAATTCAGCTAAATTAAGAGCAAATTAAGAGCAAAACCAAACTTTGAGTTAAATAAAACCTGTTTATTCTGTAGTCTGGTCTAAACTATGTCTAAGCGTGTGTCTCCAGCTTCTTTCACCAGACCAAAACCATGATTTTGAGAGTGCATTGTAGACCAGACTGTGCTTATCCAGTCTTTCCTATATTAAAATATATAATCTGAAATTGGCCCTTTGTGAGAAGTTATTATTTTTACTTTGCCATGAGTTTCCAAAACTAAAATGCTGTGTAATTGGGAGGGGGTAGGATAAACAAAACTAGTATAACTGTCCTAACCACAGAGAGCACAAATTATATACTTGAAACACCCAGCACCACTGAGAACCTGTAGTTCACCCATTCCCTTTTCCCAGGTGTATTTTAAGGACTGGGTATGAGTGTAGTTATGGAGAGACAACGAGCAAGTGTTAAATGTCATGGGTAGCACACTATAACAGAGCAGCACTTAAAAACTGGCATACTAAAATTCAAAAGCCTAACTCTTGCAGATAAAAGAATAAAATGTAACT